GCACCCAGAAACCGAGAAATGTCAGTTCCTTAGTTAAAAGTAAATACACAGCAGCTTGAAGCAGGTGACATTTACCAAACTCAAAAAATGGGAACACCAAACAGGTGTCGATTGTGTGTATTTATTTGCGGCAAAGACCACTTCTGCCAATTATGGCTGAAGAGGATGAGGTGCTGATGGGGCTGGCTATGTTTGCAAGATCCTTCACCAGCCATGGCTTTTTTGCACCACGTGTATACTTGGAAAACATACAGGACTCTGATGTCCAATGCAGGTTTTGCTTATGGAAGAGGCAATTATACAGCTCTATGAGCTCACATTCATACTAGTGCTAACTAACCTGCCAGCATGTCTTTGGTGTGTGGGATAGAAACCTGCACAGGGAGAACATGCAAACTTCAGGCACATGGTGCCATAGTTTGGATTTGAACAAATAACCATAGTGTGGATAGGTAGAAGTGCTAACAACTAAGCTGCTGTTAACATTAAGTGGAACATATAGTAGTACCATGATTAAAGAATTAAGATACATATTTATGAGTAGATATTATAACAAAATTCAAATTAAAAATGGTTTGTCATATAATTGAGATAAAACTGTCATGGATTTGAAGGGGAACCCCATTGCCCAAAAAAAAAGGTGTGGCTTCCCCCCCAAAATCACTCACATACCTTTATCTGAGCATACAGTCCTGCAAGCCAGGAAAGAGGGTGGAAGAGAGAGCACCCCCCGCCCCAACAAAATTAGTTCAGGTACTTATATGGCGCTGTCAATTTATACAGCATTTCACATATATATTGTACCTTCACATCAGGCCCTGCCTTCAAGGAGCTTACAATCTAAAGTCCCTAACTCATATTCATACATTAGGGACATTTTAGACAGGAGCCAAAGCAACTACCAGCATGTCTTTGAAGTGTGGGAGGAAACTCACACAGGAAAAACATGCAAAAGCCATGCTTTAGCTGGGATTTAAACCAGCAACCTATTGCTGGTAGACAGAAGTGCTAACCACTAAGCCACGATGCTGACCATACTGTAGAGTATAAAGTGGTACCATTATTCAAGAATTAAGATTAAGTACAGTTGTGTTCAAAATAATAGCAGTGTGTTAAAAAAAAGTGAATAAAGCTCAAAATCCTTCCAATAGCTTTTATTTCCATACACACAAATGCATTGGGAACACTACACATTCTATTCTAAATCAAAACATGAAGAAAAATATATCAAATTTGTGTTGTTCCTCTAAAAAAAATTGAAGAAAAGTGAATATTAGACTGTTCAAAAAAATAGCAGTGTTTGTATTCTTCTTTACAAACTCAAACAGTCACTATATAAACTGAAAAATGTTTGAAGATTTTGCTTTCCTTTGAATCACTTAATGAATATTTAGTTGTATAACCACTGTTTCTGAGAACTGCTGTACATCTGTGTTGCATGGAGTCAACCAACTTCTGGCACCTGTGAACAGGTATTCCAGCGCAGGGTGATTGGACTACATTCCACAGTTCTCTATTTTTTGGTTTTGCCTCAGAAACTGCATTTTTGATGTCACCCAAGTTTTCTATTGGATTAAGATCTGGGGATTGGGCTGGTCACTCCATAACATCAATCTTGTTGGTCTGGAACCAAGATGTTGCACATTTACTGGTGTGTTTGGGGTCATTGTCTTGTTGGAACACCCATTTCAAGGGCATTTCCTCTTCAGCATAAGGCAGCATGACCTCTTCATATTCTGATGTATTCAAACTGATCCATGATCCCTGGTATGCGATAAATAGGCCCAACACCGTAATATGAGAAACATCCCCATACATGATGCTTGCATAACCATGCTTCACTGTCTTCACAGTGTACTGTGGCTTGAATTCAGTGTGTTTGGGGATCGTCTGACAAACTGTCTCCGGCCACTAGACCCAAAAAGAACAATCTTACTTTCATCAGTCCACAAAATGTTGCGCCATTTCTCTTTAGGCCAGTCAATGTGCTTTGGCAAATTGTAACCTCTTCAGCACATGTCTTTTTTTCAACAGTGGGACTTTGCGAGGGCTTCTTGCAGATAGCTTGGCTTCACATAGGCGTCTTCTAATTGTAACAGTACTCACAGGTAACTTTACACCTTCTTTGATCTTCCTGGAGCTGATTGTTGTATGTAGCAGAACTGGGGAGGGGTGAGCTGTTAGGGCCAGGGATTGGAAGTCTATGTCCCACCGAAACACACATTGATTTGTGCTTCCTGCTGCTCTACTGACCAGTACTGAAGCTGTGACTCAAACTGTGAAGTTCCGCTTTGAGGCTTTGTCCCGTTCCCCATTAACGATTGGCACATTTAGGGAGCTGGAGCGGGGGGAAGGGGATACCCAAATTTTGTACAGGTACCCGCTTCCACTTCCGCTGCGATCGTCTAGGTGATCAGAAGCAGAAGTTGTCCTCCTACCCTCCCTCCTCATAATCTTCTGGGACACGTGACAGGTCCCAGAAGACTACAGGATCATTCACGAGGCGCAGCGCTACTCGTGCATGCATAGTAAGCACCCGGCTGTGAAGCCACAAGCTGTCACAGCCGAGTGCCCACACTTAAGATGCCCTCACCGGGGAGAGAGAACGGTCGGTGAAATCGGCTGCGGTGAAGATACTGCTAGATCAAAGGACAGGAGAGTGTCTGTTTTTAAAAAGTAAGCAGTTACAGTTTTTGTAGCAGCTAACTTTTATTCTTTTAACTTTGACTGGAGCTCCAGTTTAAATGTGGCTGGACTTTCAGTGTCAGCAAGCTCCCTTGGTGGCGCTGACATCTTCTAGATTTGGGATCTCCAGCCATGTTGATTGGCCAGGTCAGGTCAATACTACAGTTGAAGTGTATCTAAAGGGCAAACCATTTTCTTAGTTTATTTTATAGAGAATGGAAGACCAAGAGCTTATGTCCGTTTTATGCTATTTAAAAACAGTAATGGCCATTTAACTTTAGCATTTAGCTGTTAATCCTTTCCTGGCAAACTGCCATATAAATATGCCTTTGCCTGGGATTAAAGAAAGCCATTGTAAACCTAAACAAAAATGTGATAGAAGTTTACTAATCAAAGCACAGCACATGTGTAGTGTCTAAACATGGTCTTTTGTTGTTTGAAAGAAAGATGTAGCATAAAATGATACATTTTAACTATGCTATAAAAAATATCACTGGTCAGGGATATGTATGTAAAACATAGCACCCTTTCTGCAAAAAAAAACTAGAACTAAAGATGGAACTACAAACTGATATTTTAATAACATAATGAATCTGCAGCAACCTAGCTGCAATGGATATACATAAATATATACGTGTTCCTTCTCTTCTACCTTACATGATTAACAGATTTAAACATTACAAGAGTCAATTTACTGGAATGGATACATTTCAATATCTGCATCTACAGTACATACATTATATTGCCAAAGGTATTCGGACGCCCCTTCAAATCATAGGATTCGGGTGTGCCAATCACCTCCATGGCCATAGGTGTATAAAATCAAGCACCTAGCCCTGCAGACTGCTTCTGCAAACATTTGTGAAAGAAGAGCTCAGTGAATTCAAGTGTGGTACCGTGATAGGTTGCTACCTGTGCAATAAGTCCATCCGTGAAAGTTCCATACTACTAAATATTCCACAGTCAACTGTTAGTGGGATTATAACAAGGTGGAAGCAACTGGGAACAACAGCAACTCAGCAACAAGTGGTAGGCCACATAAATTGACAGAGGGGGTCAGCGCATGCTAAGGAGCACAGTGCGCAGAAGTCACCCATTGTCTGCAGAGTCAATAGCTAAAGTCCTCCAAACTTCATGTGGCCTTCAGATTAGCACAACAACAGTGCGTAGAGAGATTCATGGAATGGGTTTCCATGGTCGAGCAGCTGCATCCAAGCCTTACATCACCAAGTGCAATGCAAACGTCAGGTGCAGTGGTGTAAAGCATGCCGCCACTGGACTTTAGAGCAGTGGAAATGTGTTCTCTGGAGCAAGGGCAGACTGACAACTCATGGGGCCCCCCGGGCAATAGTGGATCATATGGCCCCTGTGTCCTTGCCCAAACTCAAAAAAGCCTATGAAATAGGTACCAGGGGCATCTAATGGGGCCCCCTACTGACCCCGGGCCCTCGGGCAGTGCCCAAGTTTCCAAATGGTCAGTCCGCCCCTGCTCTGTAGTGAAGAATCATGCTTCTCTGTCTGGCAATCTGATGGATGTGTCTTGGTTTGGCGGCTGCCAGCAGAATGATACTTTCCTGAGTGCATTGTGCCAAGTGGAAAGTTTGGTGGAGGGGGATTATGGTGTGGGGTTGCTTTTCAGGGGTTGCGCTTGGCCCCCTAGTTCCAGTGAAGGGAACACTTAAGGTGTCCGCATACCAAGACATTTTGGACAATTTTATGCTCCCAACTTTGTGGGTACAGTTATGGGATGGCCCCTTCCTGTTCCAACATGACTGTGTACCGGTGCACAAAGCAAGGTCCATAAAGGAATAGATGAGCGAGTTTGGGGTGGAGGAACTTGACTGGCCTGCACAGAGTCCTGACCTCAACCCGATAGAACACCTTTGTGATGAATTAGAGTGGGGACCACAAGCCAGGCCTTCTCATCCGACATCAGTGCCTGACCTCACAAATGCACTTCTGGAAAAATGGTCAAACATCCCCATAGACACTCTCTTAAACCTTGTGGACAGCCTTCCCAGGAACTGTTATAGCTGCAAAGGGTGGGACAATATTGAACCCTACGGACTAAGACTGGGATGCCAAGAAAGTTCATGTGCGGGTAAAGGCAGGTGTCCCAATACTTTTGGCAATATAGTGTACATGTTCAGCTCTGTATTTATAGACAGATTGCCTCTGACACATTTGTATTGTGTTTAAACCCTGGAAAACCTTCTAATAAACGTCAGGCAAAAAGAAATTATTCAGTACCCTCTTCTCAAGGGCAAAACACCCAAAATCCTGCACACAGGGTACTTAATCCAGAAAATGTTGGGTCAAATAGAAGTACTCTTTGGGTGAATATGGGCTGCTTTCGTTGGAAAGGAAACTGGTTTCCCTGTGAAAAGAAATAAAATTCAATAATAATATAATTGGTAATGAACAATTATAAGGATATAATACTTATGCGCTGCTACAAATAAATGATAAGCTGCTGCAAGCACCTAAGTGTGTTCCCACATCAATAAAACTCCCCAAGAATAGTGCTGCGCTGCCCCCTGGTGACCCAAAAAATACACTAATAATAAATAAACACCCTCCTGAGCATCAAACCCAATGTGTAATAGAATAAATATGTGAAACAAATACATTCAATAGTAAATTAAAAGAAAACAAAAAAAACGATCTGAGCCACTAAATCCAAAGGATTTGTGAAACATGTATAAAAAATAAACCAAAATGACGTATATCAGAAATAAAACACAATCACAATAGCATAAAGTGTAAAAATCAACAAAAACAGTATTAAACAATTGATGACTTTCTTTATTTTACAGATTTATTCTATTACACATTGGCTTTGATGCTCAGGAGGGGAATTATGAACAATTATTAGCAAAACAAGGTGTATTGTTTTTATTTACATCATGGAAGTATTTTTTTTTAATTAACATCTAAATAATGAAAATCACAGTATATGACAACAGGAAAGGTGTACAAACTTACCAATATATAACGGTAAATCTGGTGTTAATTGGTCAAATGAGATAACCAGTGAGTTCTTTGGATTTCTGTCTGCTGATGTCAACTCCACAGTTGTATCCAATTTTGTAAAAGTAAAATTAAGTTTATTCCCAAGATAAGAAACCCCAGTAATCTGCAATTTAATGATTTCATCAGTGGCAACTGGGTCCAGGTCCAGGCTTTGTTTGTTGATTCTGAATGGAACATAAGCATCATTATAAAAAAAAAAAAAAAAAAAAAAAAACAACATACTGCTTGTTTGCCCTAACCACTGATTGTATCTGGGTAGCAATAGTCAGCTTATACTGAACAGTGTGTCAGGAACAGTTGTGTACTGGAATTGATAACCTTTTAGGAAGCTCCAAATAGAGGTTTACTATTATTTATATTATATTCCCACATGGAAGAAAAATATATTTGAAATATATTTAAAACATATTCTTCCCAAATACATTGCCATATATTTGAAATACTACAATTTTGGCCATATTCAATATATTTCAAAATATATTTCTATCTATCTATCTATCTATCTATATCTATCTATCTATCTATCTATCTATCTATCTATCTATCTATCTATCTATCTATCTATCTATCCATCCATCCTATCCATCCATCCATCCATCCATCTATCCATCCATCCATCCATCCATCCATCCATCTATCATCTATCTATCTATCTATCTATCTATCTATATATATATATATATATATATATATATATATATATATATATATATATCATGTTGAAATGCGTTTTTATTACAAAATATATGAAAAAATATTTTTTAAAATACATTTCAAATATACTGTATGTTTTTAAAAATACAAATCTACATTTTTGAAATGCATTTACAAATATATGTATGTATGTTAAAATTACTTTTTTAGATGTTAACAAATCTGAAGAGCATATTTTAAAAAAATAAATTTTTAAACATATTTTTTTTTAAATATATTCTTCAGTTTGTTTAACATATAAAAATTAATTTTAACATATTTTTACATATATTTGTAAATGCATTCCACAAATGTAGATTTATATTTTGTCCCCCTTTATAATGTACAGCGCTGAGCGAACTATTGACGCTTTATAAATACTGTATAATAATAATAATAATATTTTTAAAGACATACAGTATATTTGAAATGTATTTTTAAAATACCTTTTCATATATTTTGTAATAAAACGCATTTCAACATGCAGTATATATATATATATATTATATTTATTTATTTATTTATTGAAATATATTGAATATGGCCAAAATTGTTGTATTTCAAATATATGGCAATATATTTGGGAAGAATATATTTTTAAAATATATTTCAAATATATTTTCTTTCCATATGGGTTATTATTATATTAATAACTGTTGCATTGATTTTCAAGGACATATTTTATTTGGTATATTGTTTTTAAAATGTCATTTTTAAAACAAAAAAAGGTGTAAAAATATTTTTAATCTTTTTTTTTTTAAAGTGTAGCACTACCCCTTAGGGGCCACTGGATTTGAATTGGGTCCCCCTAAGCTCTGCACAGCCAGGCAACACGCATTTTCCACACTTGTACACTTGGAGTCATTAAACAGTCCTTGAGCTTGGTTTTGTTGTTTTATTGGGGGTTAACAACTTGGATGGGATTTAGGGGTATATGGGATGCCTAAGGAACTGCGGAACTTCAGGACAACTTTATGGCAACTATGTACAAAGATGTAAATAGAAACTGTCTCTTCTAAAGAGCACTAACAGCTCTTTGGTGTACCTCCTCAGACCCCAGATGATTCCTCCTCTTCTCCCAGCTGCCTGAGGGTATCCCTGATGAAGGGGCCCAAGAACTTCCAATCAAACATTCCCAGATGAGAAGCTAGTTGGGTATTACATCTGACCACCTTCTCCCCTTGTTTGGCCCAGGGGGTGTAGGAGTACTCACACTGTCTTCTGTTAGCTTAGTGGGTTGGTGGCTGCCTTCAGGCCTTATGCTGGGCTGGATCCTTCCCTGCTGCACAGGCTGTCCTCCCCAGGAGATGCTGAGGCAGTGGAGATCCTCCTCTCCAGCACCCTGCCTGTAGGTAGGCTCTCCTCTCTGGGGCCCCCTCCTATGCTCCACACTCCAGCCTTCCTCACTCCATCTTCCACCCAACACTGCACACTGCACCCTATGCTCTGCCAAATTTAAGGATTGTCCGTGGTCACCATGCCCAGCTTCCTGCCAGGGGATTGGCCAGAGTCCCTCAAACATGCAGATCTGGGCCTCCTCCCCTCCTCCACTCATGTTCCAGAAAGTTCTCCAATTTCTCAAAGGTGGGAGGGCTCCAGAAGCCCTGATCTGTAGAACCTCCTATCCTGAGGTGAACTCCTGCCTCAATCACAGGCTGGCTCATCCCAAGCTGCTACTCAGCCACTATCTAAAAACCCAAATCTAGCTGGCTAAACCTGGAGGGCGTTACATAAGTTTATTGTTATTTTTAAAGACTATATTATTATCTTTAGAAACATTTTTTTCTGTGTGAACACCGGAATCTGGATTTGGAATTTCCAGATCGTTAGTAGATACTGCAGCTGTCAAGAGACAGCACAGTCTTGACAACTTGCAGGGTGTATCTTTACATGCTCCCAGCTTTCAACTGTGGGTGTAGAATACCTGTACCTTGGCAGAGGGCACCTTGCCTGGGACAACTGCTCTACAATTTGCTGAAACCAGCTGGTTAAAGAAATAAAGCTTGACCATGCATCACACCAGCCTGTAATTAGATAGTGAAAGAGCTGACGCTCACTGATGATATCATCTCTGTACTCTCTTCCCTGCCAGAATGCTGTCAATGCAGTTGCAACACAATCGAGTTGGGCTGGTCCACATTGCATTATCCTCTGCCAGGCTGAATCCTGATATTCAGAAGACTAGCAGGTACTAATATAAGGATGGAAAGAGGAAACACAGCGTCGCCACTCTAAGTGTAGATGTGCTTAAGACCAAAAGTTTATTAAGGATATAGTGTACGATTACATGTCAATAATAAGTCACTCCCGGCAGTGCAGGTCTGGAAGCTGGATACCGTGTGGTCCTCCTCATCTCGGCCATGCTGGTGGTGTCCAGGGATCCAGAAGTAGCAGAGAGACACAGGATGGCTGACAGCTGTGATGTCACCGGAACCATAAGGGTAACTGCGGCGTGCGTTCAGAGCATAAACGCTCCTTTCTCAGAACATAGATCGGCCATCTTGAGTGTGGTTTATATAACCACTCTGTTATTTAAAGGGGTTTAAAATAACAGAGGGTCAAAAGGATACAGGTAAAAATAGAAATTATATATACAGGTACAAAAAAATATACTATAGCAGATATAAATGTACAGTATATGAGACTAAAAGAGATCACTGGATGGATAAAGGAACTGTACACTAAGTATTATTGGATAATTATTAGGGATATATTATAGAATGTATAAATTATATAAATTAAAACATAATATATTATTGAAAAGGTCTGTAAATGCCTGCTGAAAGGCTTGCATAAATATAAAGATTAAGATGAACAAAGGTTATCATGATTATAAAGGGAGTAAATATACCTGGTATGATAGAAGGATCAAACCAAGAATATACAATGGAATGAGGTGTTACAAAAAAGTATTTACTTCATTAAGGCCCCCTGGGGCCACAGTATCAAGAGTGTGAATCCAAAAAGGTTTCCCTCATGCAGAGACGCTTATAATGCTCTGCTTGAGGGAGATCCTTAGATTCAATTACCTGCTATCTAAGGAAGGCGGAAGATTGAGAGTGAAATTCAGAGAAGTGTTTGGGGACACTAAGTTTGTCCTTACCATCATCAACTGAACGCCTGTGTTCCCCACATTTTTGTAGTAGGGTTCTGATTGTTTGACCAACATAAAGAAGTCCGCACAGACAAAGTAGACAGTAAATTGCAAACTCTGATGAAAAGTTGTAAAATTAGAGTGTAAGTTTTACCCTTGGTAGTGAATTGTTTCTGTCCATGCTGGACATATTTCCACGTGAGGCATTTTGGTTTTCAGCACTGGTACATGCCTTTAACCTCCCTAGCGGTCTGATTATGTCCATATTTCTGTGCTCAAAGCAGTACATTTATTGCATGGAAATATGTATTTTCTTTTTTGTAGGCCTTTAATATTTAGGAATAACTCACTGAAATCTGTCCAAACAAGAGTCTAGTAAACATCCTCCAGGGTATGTTAAAATTTGAAACATGAAATCATAAATTATAATTTAGTAAATAATCATAAAAAATAATAATATATAATAATAATAATTTTAATTCAATAATATAATCAAACCGAAAACACTGAAATTTGAAATATAGCGCCAAGTTCGCACATCACTGAGCAAAGTCGCAAAATCGTTTTCAGTGTCTGATGACGAATTTCCCCACGAATCATTATCACTCAATTCTGCAAGTAGTTCTGATTTACTATCGCTGTTCTCTAGCCGGTCTAAAACCGATTTTGACCTAAAGGGACGCTTTTTGGACGCCATGGACATTTCTCAGTTTCCAGGCAGAAAGAACAGTAAAAATGCAGGCAGGACAAAGCACTAGGGACAAAATGTATGTGAAATGGTTTGATACAGTAATGATTTACTATAAGATTTTAGTGAATTTAGTGAATGTCCCTTTTTGTCATTTTCAAATTTCCTGCCGTTCTGTCCCCGTACGTCCCGACGTCGCAGGGAACGGAACCCGGAAGACAGATGCCGGCATCCGCCGGAGGACATTACAGAGGACACTGCAGGGAGGACATCGCGGGAGCGCAGGACAAGGTAAACAAAGAATGGATCTCGGAGCATGGTAATCCCGAGTGTAGCTCGGGGTTACCGCTTGTGGTACTGAAACTTTACCCCGAGCTACACTCGGGAATACCACCATGGAGGTTAATAGCCAGGAACTTAGGTAAGGAGCATTTCAGAAGATTTTAAGTTGCTGGAGGCCACTTTGCTTTTAACATTTCCTGCCCTCCTATATGACAGCTTGGGTATACAATATAAACCACACTCAAGATGACCGATCTATGGCCTGAGCAAAGAGCGCATATGCTCCAAGCACGTGCTTCATTTACTCCTCCTGTTCCTGTGATGTCACAGCTGTCAGCCATCCTGTGTCTCTCTGCTACTCCTCATCCCTGGACACCGCCAGCATGGCCGGGATGAGGAGGACAGCATGGCATCCAGCTTCCAGACCTGCTGTGCTGGGAGTGAGTTATTATTGACATGTGATCTTACTCTATATGCTTGTGAGTTGTTTACCTTATTAAAACTTTTGGTTTTAAGCACATCTACACTTAGAGTGACGCCGCTGTGTTTCCTCTTTCCTTCTGTGCATTAGAGTTGCTCTTTGCTCTGACAGCTGGCTGCCATCTACTCCATACACTCTGGGATCAACATCCATCAGGAGAAGTTATTCACCTTTGGACTTCTACATATAAAGACTTGTTTGTACATACAGATGTTTTACTTCAATAGTCCACAACCTATCCCATTTATCCTTTTTATTTATTTATGACCATCTGTTGGGTTATATATCTGAATTGCCTTCTAACGCTTTCCACCTCTTCCCTTTTGTACCAATATAAGAATGTTACATAGTTACATAGTTCATCTGGCTGAAAAAAGACAAATGTTCATCCAGTTCAAGCATTAAAAAAAAAAAAGTTATAATCCTATACGCACAGTTGATCCAGAGGAAGGCAAAAAAAACCCAGCAAAGCATGATGCAATTTGCTCCTGCAGGGAAAAAAAATCCTTCCTGATCCCACGAGAGGCAATGGGATATTCCCTGGATCAACTTTACCTATAAATGTTAGTATCCAGTTATATTCTGTGTATCTAACAAAGAATCCAGGCCTTTTTTGAAGCAATCCACTGAGCTGGCCAGAACCAAGTCTTGAGGGAGTCTATTCCACATTTTCACAGCTCTCACTGTGAAGAAAACTTTCCATGTTTGGAGATTAAATTTCTTTTCCTCCAGATGTAAAGAGTGCCCCCTTGTCCTCTGTGATGAACTCAGGGTGAATATATTCATAAATGCATTTACATATACAGTATTTTAATAAATACAAACTGCATTAAAGCGTAGTAAAGTCAACTGTTTAACGTTGCCCTATATTAAAGATTATAATAAGATTTACCTGTAGGCCCCTCCTAAATCCTAAACCATATAAAGCTCTTCTGTTGAGTAGTCTGAGATGTCAGCTCTAGCCAAGGACGTCACTTGTGCACATACAGTTCACTCTGCATTCACGGCACACTGCCTGTCCTGTGATAACAGAGAGAAGCCTGCCGTGATGGTGACTCCCGTGCACATGCGTGTCAGTGATGTCATCTCAGCTCAGCCATTTAAGTGGCCAGAGGGAAGACTGGGTGAAGATGGAAGCGCCAGGAGTGGTGACAGCTCCACGTTGGAGGGCTTTGTTTTATAGGTAAGTCTGTCATAATGTGCTAATATGCAGTGCATACTAAACACATTATGCCATCAACCACCTGAGGCCCATAAAAAAAAAAAGAGTTTAATATTGTACAATATTTGAGCTTTGATAGATACAGGGAGGAGAATCACTTGCTGGCTTCTTTTATACTTTAGGGACTTTTGCAGTGAAGTTTGTGCTTGAGCATGTTATTGTATATGAGATGCTATTTCTGATTCTTGTGATGTACTATCTTACTGTTGCAAAGGAAGTGGCTTGTAATGATTTTGCACTGCACTTAAATGTTTGAGTTCTGTAATTTTTCATCTCATTTAATCCATGAACCAGTAATATATAAAACACCAAAAGAGATCCTCATATTACCAGAACAGAAATGCATAATATATAGGAGGCTACAGGACCAAGGGGCAGGATTATATTATTTGTTATTACAAACCTGAAACCTGTATAACCAAAAAGTATAGCTTGCAGAAATCCTCCCATTCCTGTAAGGAAATTAACAGCTCCAGACCCATCAGCACATTCTGTCCAAATCTAAAAACAATAAATGTGACACAAAGTCAACAAAAGACAAAACATAGTCCTGTGATTCTACACCAAAATCTGGGTAACTCAATAAAGGGGATTCAACGTAAAGTAGTGTTCTAGGTTAAGCATTCTGATTTCAGTTGAGGTCAGTGGGGCAGCATCCTAGACCAGGGTTAGTAATGTCATCATAGTAATGATAGGGATTCAATGAACCAAAGCTACTATTATGTTGCAGCATGACATTCACCCAACAATGTCTCACCTTAAATGGTTCTGTTATGTTTGCAAAGCATTTCTTTAATTGTCTCTGCGCAGCCTCAATCTGCTTTAATTCCATAAAACCAACTGAAAACATACTCTGAAAAAGAAAGTACATTATTATTTGAAATGTAGTACAGCTTAAATTGGTTATCAAAAATAAATAATGAAAAAAATTTGTAAACCGAAACGCGGTTTCCCATAGGAATGCATTAAAAATCAATTAATCCGTTCCGGAGGTCAGAAAAAAAGTTTTAAGTCTTTTATCTGTTCAAAATTCTTTATAAAGTGCACTTTAAAGGCATAAATACTGTACAGGGACTGATTAAAAATGAATTAGTAAATGCATTGAAAACCAATTAATCCATTCCGGAGGTCAGAAAAAAGTAAAATAAAGTCTTATCTGTTCAAAACTCTTTATAAAGTGCACTTTAACCACTTCAATACCGGGCACTTTTACCCCCTTCCTACCCAGGCCAATTTTCAGGTTTCAGCATTCTCACACTTTGAATGACAATTGCGCGGTCATGCAACACTGTACCCAAACTAAAATGTTATCATTTTGTTCAAACAACTAGAGCTTTCTTTTGGTGGTATTTAATCACCACTGGGGTTTTTATTTCTTGCTAAATTAACAAAAAAAGAGCAAAACATTTGAAAAAAAAAAAAACACATTTCTTTGTTTCTGTTATATAAATTTGCAAATAAATAATTATTCTTTATAAATTTAGGCCAAGATGTATTCTGCTACATTTCTTTGGTGAAAATAACCCAAATCAGTATTTATTATTTAGTTTGTAGGAAAGTTATAGAGTTCACAAACTATGGGATATATCCGAAAATTGATCAATCCTGAAGTACTGACAGCCAATCTAATTTCTCTAGGCCCAAAAATGTCAGATATCCCCCAAATTACCCCTTTTTGCAAAGTAGACAGTCCGAGGTATTTCATAAGAGGCATGGCGAGTTTTTTTAAGCTATAATTTTTCGGAAAATAAAGAAATTAAAAAAATAATTTTCACAATTTTTTTTTTTTACATACCGTCACCTGTGCAGTACAGCATTATTATATAACTGGTGTGGCGGTGATCAGGGACACTGACCGGTGACAGTACAAAAAAAAAAAAAAATTTCATAATTTTTTTTTATTTTATTCGTTTTTTTATAACTTTTTATTACATTTTTTTTTCTTTTTTTAAGATTTTTTCCATATTACACTATGACCAAAGTAGTATAATGTTACCATAGTAACATTGCACTACTTTAGGGAAGTGATCAGTATTTTTATTTTTTTTTACACAATTTGACTGCTTAAAGCAAAGAATTTCTTTGCTATAAGCAAGCATTTAACCGAATGAAATTGATTCATTCAGGTTTTTTTGTTGTAATTAGCTGTGATTGGCCACAGCTAATCACATGGCACAGATGGGCTGTGATTGGCCCAGCCTGTGCATTTGACCACTGTGACCATTCACAGCTAGACACACTTGTATACAATGGGTGGCATGAAAAGAAGCCATCCAATGTATACAACTGTCATGTGACCTGCTGTGATTGGTACACAGATCTGTCATCGGCCGTGTCCGTGGTACACAGCCGGGGACAGATCTCGCTACAACGTGGCCCTGCGGGCAAGTGCAAAGCGTGATCTGGGAAGGACATCATATGACGCCCTACCAGAGGCTTGCTCGGCCATCATTTTATTATAGGCCAGGCGGGAAGTAGTTAAAGTCATAAATACTGTACAGGGACATGATTAAAAAAAAAATTGGAAAATGCATTGAAAACAAATTAATTCATTTCGGAGGTCAGAAAAAAGTAAAAAAAAGTCTTATCTGTTCAAAACACTTTATAAAGTGCACTTTAAAGGCATAGGGCCAGTGCTATAAACCTCCCAGGCACAAGGCATCCTGGGGAAACTTGCTTCATATTGCAAAACAAATTAGTAAACCGAGGCATTATTTTCAATGGATTTTCATTCTTAAACCGAAAATTACGTTAACCGAGGCTTTCGTAGAACCGAGGTACACCTGCATGGCACTCTATTGATCTCTAGTCACACAAAATAATAGATGTAATTTAAAGGACCATAGTTGCAAAAAAAAAATCTTGTATTCTAGCTGTATGTGAACAAAACATGTAATGTAAAACAAAAATAATCAAGTGCTGGGTGAATAGTAAAGTGAAAGTAGCTGCTGGCATATAAAGGCGAACCTCAAAGACTTACAAATCAAAAATGGTATATGTATAAAATATGCAGCGCTAATAAACCTACAGAAAGCAATCACATAAATCAAGGTATATATAACATATAAGGTGCTGAATCCCACTGGGGTGGGATTTCTAAAATGACTATTGTGATAAAGTCAATAAACTTGTTATGCAGAATATCCGTGACTCCTGTGATAGTGGAAATGGATATAGATTGCACTAACCAGATAGCGAAAACGCTTGCGCATGGAGTACATAAGACCTACTTCTGGTTCTCTGGATCTGGATCACTGCAGACGGTTGAGGTCATCAGCGCAGCAGCCACCAGATGTCATATATCCGGATATGGTAACCAGCCTCCTGAGATGCCGATAACAGCCACCAGGGGGATCATGTACAATGTCATGTGTCAGGTCAGCAGGAATCAGGAATCACCTTCAAAGAAGGGGCTCACAAACAAAAAAGAGCCCCAGAGAAAGCCTCCAATGGTGTAGTATTCTTTAATAGTTGAAATTAGAATATAAAAGATGGATCACACTTACATAAAAAACCAAGATGGCCGCCGGCCATCCATAAAGGCCATGCGGTGTGTATACAGTGATTAGGGGCACCTAATCACTGTGTACACATGATCCCCCTGGTGGCTGTTATCGACATCTCTGGAGGCTGGTTACCATATCCGGATATATGACACCTGGTGGCTGCTGCGCTGATGACCTTAACCGTCTGCAGTGATCCAGATCCAGAGAACCAGGAGTAGGTCTTATATACTCCATGTGCAAGCGTTTTCGCTATCTGGTTAGTGCAATCTATATCCATTTCCACTATCACAGGAGTCACGGATATTCTGCATAATAAGTTTATTGACTTTACCACTGGAGTCACGGATATTCTACATAACAAGTTTATTGACTTTACCACTGGAGTCACGGATATTCTGCATAATAAGTTTACTGACTTTACCACTGGAGTCACGGATATTCTGCATAACAAGTTTATTGACTTTATCACAATAGTCATTTTATAAATCCCACCCCAGTGGGATTCAGCACCTTATATGTTATATAAACCTTGATTTATGTGATTGCTTTCTGTAGGTTATTAGTGCTGCATATTTTATACATATACCAAAACGTGTAATGTGATCATTACAGTATTTCAGTATTCCATATATATTTGTACACACACACACATTTAGGTTTTCATATTCATCTGCGTGCAGACCAAGCTGACCAGTAAATATAACAGTGACACTGGTTGGTAAATACCCTAACAATACTAAGCGTATTTACAACAGTCATCTTACTGTCATATGTTAGCCTTGATTCAAATGTATGCGTGTGTGCAATATATGTGCGTTGAGGTGTGTTGTCATTTATTTTAAATGCCACCCCAAAGCACACAGTAACAACAAATGTGCATATGCTATAGTGCAACACAAGACGCAGATGAGTGAAAAAAGAGCACTGGTATGTTATTTATTATATTGAGGGAATGATGACAAACAATGTCCTACACTGCCTTTACGCAGTGTGTGTTAACGCATGCAAAGGTATGAATGGGCCTTTATTGGCAGGGTTTAAATGTAGAGAAAAAAAATATAAGGCTTGTAAAGTAAATAAAAAGAAAGTTGTGTATTAAATACAAAGACTTTGTAATAATCTCATACAGTTATGAGAAACAAAATTGTTACCTACAATCATTAAAGCAAAGATCAGTGTAGAAGTTCATAAAGTCACCAGTGTAAAACAAATTCTTTTACCCATGTCATAGCAGGGCCATCATGGTCTGTTACTAACTCATAAATTAAAAGGTCATTTCTGCGTTGTTCAGGAGTCATTTGAAACATCAGAGGGTAACCAAGCAAAACCACATCTGCCTGTTTCACCTTCTCACCTGTAAAATCAAATGCACATGATATAAAAATACTGCATTATAAAAAATATGTTAAAGTGTATTTGCACCTTTACATAATATTCCTTTAAAGCCCGCCACCCATCTAGTTGAGTTCATGACCATATAAGCAGGTAACTAGATGTTTATTTATTGACTCAGACAATACAACATAACTAATTATTTATGTATAATTGATATAAAGTTTATATTTAGAGACATCTGCACTTCTAGTTATGAAGAAGCGGATTGTGTTATCTGTGAAAAGCATTGAAACATCTCTACTCCCTTGCCACATTAGCAATAAAATTATAAAAAATGTGTTGTATGTATGAGGAATCAAATGTTCAAATACATAAATGGCTATTGGTGCTGGAGGAGGAAACCTGCACAACTGGGACAACACATTGAAATATTTGTCAGCAACAGAGTTTAAAATGTTTTTATGTGATGTTAATAAAAGTATATTGTGTTTTTGCTTTCTCTTTTTTCTTTAGAAGCAGATTTTTTTTTGTTACCCCTATGTATTTTATATACTGTATATAAAGTTATGCATACACCTCCACTGTTTTATGTATTGACTAAGTGCCTTGAACTTTTTCTTTACTTTTGTAAACTTGAAAAACTTTAATGAAAACAATTTAAAAAAAGGATATTTTTTAAAATAATATTTTGTATACTACAATTGATCTGGTACCTCTTATCAACAGCCCAATTGCCATTTAAATTGCAGGGCTAGCCTGTGACTTTCAGAAACTTGGTTTGTAATGGGGCTCTTTCCAGATTAAAGCTGTCCATAGGCAGATCGAAATTTCAATCAGCGTGTGGTAGTCCCTTTTCAACAGAAGTCAATTGTTTGATCAACGTTTGTTGAGCAGACAAGTTGGAAAACATTTGTCGTTGAGCGGCTGCAGCTGCCAACTGATGCATTTTGACAACAGTGAGTCCCACAGTCAGAATACAATGTCTAGGTGGGGGGGGGGATCCTTGCAGTCACCTCGCTTGTGTGGATAGAGGAATCTATTTGTTTTTCCATTCAGCCCACTTGGCTAAACAAAAAAAAACACTACCTGTCTATGGCTAGCTTTTGTTCTGGCTAAATTAGCTGCTGCTAAGTCGGCCATAGATGGATTGAATGTCGGAAGGGTTCAGCAGGGGACAGCTGAGATTCAATCCACCTATGGACAGGCTAGTTGTACCCAATTTGATCCATCGATTGACTTTGGTACAACTAGGCTGTCAAATTTTTTACATGAGATTACTGCCTGTACCTATAGTCACTAGCAGTAATCATTGTGTTCTGCCAGCCAGAAAGGCTACCACTGGCAGAACACAATAGTTGACTGTATTGATGGGGGAATCAAGCGATGTTCCACAGGTGGAAGGAAAGAAAATCACATAATCTATGGGCTGTTTTACTCTCAAGTTATAAAAACACAGTTTTCGACCCTTTTGAAGCAGTGGGTAACACCCTGAAAACTGGGGGATCAGCCTGCTGCTTGCACCATTGGTGCTTCCAGCCTAGGCTCATATAGTCCCTCTTTTGGCAGCAAAGTTGTTCACTTCGCACCCACTTTTCCATTTTCTACAGGAAGACTGGAAGCACCCTGGTAAATTGTTTACTTCCCCTAAGTGCTTGTTAGCCACTTGGTGCAGATTCTGTTGAGAAGTGGTCTGTTCCTTCTGCGGATTTGGCCATTCCTTTCCTTAACAATGTGACCTTTTCTAGAGGAAGGATACACCTGCTTTTAAAGACCCAACCAGTAAGTAGTTGGAAACCTTTCCTAGAACTCTCTTATCTTTGGCAGGTACTGCCTTGCACCCAATTCTGGCTGTGATTTTGCTTTCTCAAACTATGTCTGACTGGGCAAAATTCCTAAAACAGGATCTAACCACCACTGTCATTGGCCCTTTCATTGTGGAACATGTGGAACAGATGGCTTTGGCATTGAATTTCAGCTTTGATTGCTTACTGGAAACCTTCTTCTTCGCATTAAGCTGGCCATACACTAGTCGATTTTCTAATGAACATCAGTACAAATATAAACATGAAAATTTGTAAGGAAATTCTCAGTACATTTGATGACTTGACAAATGTCATTCAAATGTACTTTAAAATTTAATTTTCTTTTACCATTCAATTTTGGAACAATTGGGCTTTACCGAACAAAAAACACATTCACTGTTAGAAATTTGTTCAAAAACACTTTCTATCCTGCTCCTTCAAGTTTTTCTTATTACTGTGGTCGAAAACAAACAACGATTTTACCCTACTAATTGTTAGACAATGGAACAAACAATCTAAAAATGAAACATTTCTAACAAACTTGTACTAGTGTATGGCCAGTGTTAATTTTCTATCAGTGTTTCTGTATATGGAACTTTGGCTAAAGTGCTGGACTGTGGAGCTATTTTGTAAGAAAGTGTTTCACTTGCAATAAATGCTTAATGGCCCCTGCTCAGGCTAATAAGGTCTGATTAATTGGATGCCACGGACTACTGAGGGTGCAGGCTGCGGTAAAGTTCATCCAACCCAAAAGCACACTGTAGAAATAGGGAGAGATAGCCACCACACACCTCACCCGGCCTGAGTGGTCTTCCATGATTAAGACCAAGAGGTGGGGCAAAACATGTTGGGAGCATGGCTTAGATGAATAGAGCTGAGGCTGCTTTTACCTGCTAACAACTTGGGCAGGGCGAGGTGTGCAGCGGACAGGTTATCTCTTCCTATTTCTACAAGGTGTTTGGCTTGCATGTAGTTTGAGAGTCTCTTTGGATGAACCCTAAGTGTTATCAAGGATGGTACTGGGTGTAAAAGCACCCATCTTCTTCAGTGGAAGACGCCTAAGGCTTCATGCACGCTGCATGTTTTTTTTCTCCAGGAGTTTAGCAGCAGAAAATTTGCAGTGAACAGCCACATTTTTAATGCACATTCATGTGCGTTATTACGCATTCCTGCGCCCGGGTTTAACACATTGGCCAGGATTTCTGTCTAAAAGAATGCATTAATGGTGGAATGCGGGAATGCACCTAGTTAACTCACGCATTTCTTTATGCGCAAAAGCTCCTTTCCTGGATGCACAGTGATTATTTTTCTACCTCTAAACTCTCCTGCCACTAAACTCCTGAAAACGCTTATAGTGTGCATAGATACATAGGCTAACATGGAGGGGAGTTTACAGGCAGAGAAAAAAAAGCTCAAAGAGCTGTAGAAGCAGCTTTTTTGAGCCGCAGTGTGCATGAAGCCTAAGGGGCCGACTGCAAGCTCGTCTACCTCTCTGGCTGTGAAAAATGAATGTCCCTTTAATTTCTTCAGTTTTTCAACTTCAACATCAGGACCCCTCAAGCATTGCTTGAATAACAACAGTCATTTATCTGTAAAACATATTTCTTTTTCTTCCCTGTAAATTTTGTGCACAGGTACACAAACTACATTCATATGGCTGTTCATGCTTTGCCATGGTGTATTTTATACAGCATCAATTACCTACAAAATATTTGTCATATTCAGGGTGGTAGTTGATTTCTTTATCAAAAGGCAGTTTGAGTTTATTTGCCACATCCTTCCATGTTTCTGGGACCTGATATTGTAATTCATTAGCAAGTTCTATGGAAAAGTTTAAACTGTCAAAGGAAACAAAGACATTTAAATCAGTTATGGTAAGCATTAAAATATTTTTTATATTTGTTTTTACCCTCTAACACCTATTTTTGCTGGAAAACCCTATCTGTATAAACACTTGCCAACAGAGATCTAACTGTCTAAGATGCAGAAAAGTTCAAACCTCCAATGTTCCTGTGTTGCTTCTATTTTGTACCTGCATGTCACTGCAGGAAGGTCTGAGCAATACGCATCTGTTAACAAAGCTACAAAGGATTTAGTGGATGTGTGCAGAATCCACTGCGTTATCATGGAAAAAACCTCAACTGACTAACAAGAGAGAAATAGAAAGACATCAATATAAATCATGACTTAAAGTGCAACTTTACCCATAACAACTTGGCAAAAAAAAAATAATGTTTTTTAGCAAAAAACATTCATTCCACATTAATAATTATATATAACAAAACCACACCTAACCTACAGTGAAAAAAACTCTTCAGACCCAAAGCACCAATACCTCCACCCTGGAGGCCACAGATATAAGTAAAGGCAATGTTGGTCACTCTAAATATAACAAAATACCCAATATCCAACTAAAAACGAAATTATAAAGTCCTTCCAAAGTTCTCTATATACCCTGATGGAGTCTTCTTTACGTCCACCAGTTCTTAGTGATCCTTCCATTTCCAGTACTCCTCAAAGCAAATGCTTTGAGGAGTATTGGAAATTCAAGATCACTAAGAACTGGTGGACGTAAAGAAGACTCCATCAGGGTATATGGAGAAATTTATAATTAAATTTTTAGTTGGACATTGGGTATTTTGTTATATTTAGAGTGACCAACATTGCCTTTACTTATACACATTAATAATTACGCTACTAAAATTAGTGTATGCTGTAAATTACCTCCAGCATTGCTCCAGTTTCCTCTTGCTGGAGGCTGCCATTTTGCTGAAGCACCTGAACAGCAGTAAACCATAAAGTGGAACTAAACCCATTGATTTAACAGTTTCAAAAACAGTTACATTCCTGGAATGCTGGGATTGCTAACTGTCATATTTGCTTGTGTCCTCAACCAAACTATCAAACCATCATATGTCTGGTGTCATAACTGTTCACATGTGCAGTACCATGGCAGTTGCAGATCAAACAGAAGCAGCTTCTTTGGCTGTAAAGGATAGGAGGGTTTAATTCTGCTTTAAAGCTGCCAACAGATCGGCCTCTACAGACTTGGCAATGCCTAAAAATAGAGAGCAACTTAGCATGTGCAGAGCAGAGTGAAACAGTGTATTACTGGGTTTTTAACATTATAGACACTTATTTTTAATAGCTATGCCTGCAAAAGGAGCCAG